GATTGTAGTTAATTTTGGGTGATTGTCACATAGTTGATAATTGCTCTGATTCATGATATTATTATATTCTCTTTCCTTCACCCACAGCAAAACAAGCTTAATTTGATTTATATCCTTAGGAAGAAAAAAACCCTAAGATTACTCACATGGCTATGATTCAGCTTTTGGCTCCTTCCTCTTTCCCTTCTCCTCCTCCTCTTTCCCCCTCCTCCTTTTCTCCTCCTCCCCTGCCCACTCCTGTATTCACTCCCACCCACGATGTTGTTGTCATCAAAGAACTGAGTCAGTTCGTTCTTAAAAATGGGTGGGGCAGGAGACAAGTAATAAAAAATTTTCTGAGTGAAGTATGCGGCTTCTGTGTGAAATCATTTCAAGAAGGCAGGCAGCTCCTTATATGACATGAAAAGCTTGGAACAGAATCCAGTCCTCATACAGACATGTTCCCAGTGTCCTACATAAATCTGCATGTAGTTTGTGTGCATGTTTGTAGAGGCATTCAAGTTGCATAGCCATGGAGGCAAGTTCCTATGAGATAATTCTGATACTGGGAATTTTATATAATGTGCTTTCAAAGTAGAGTACTTTGCTAAACAGCGAATGATCTTGTTTTGGATACAGGATCTCACTATGTAGCTCAGGGTGGTATTGAACTTGTGTTCCTCCCACCTTGGCTTCCTAAGACAGGGAATTATAGACATGTATCATCATGCCTGGTTTTATTTGCCTTCTCATGAAGAGTGTGACTTGGAACCTTGAGGCTGTTCTTTCTACCCTTGGAATGGAAGAGAACTACTGGGGGAGGGGTGTGGCTGCTCACCCTTGGTGATGTGGTGAGCATCATGGAAACAGATTTCTATTTCTTCCTTGTGTTTTTTTGTTTACACTCATTCTCCAGGTGATGAAAAAGAGAAAGGAAGTGACTCTCAGGTTTTTCAGGCAGTACCCTCCCAGACCCAGTATTGAGTCTGACTGTCTGTGTTCACTCTGACCTATAGTTGAGGTTGCTGGAACTGACAGAGTCAGATTATTTGGTATTTTTGGTTGCTGACAGAGAGGCAACTCCATGTTATTTCACCAACCCAACCTTTTAGTGCAGAGTTGAAGCAGATCTGTTCCTCTCACCCAAGCTCCCTCAAAGGGGTGAGTCGGGCCATCTCCTGCCATTCATTCATAATCCCTACCACCCTTTCATTGTGCTTTTCCTCTCCCCATCATGTTGAAGACAAGTTGGAGCAGTTGCTTGTCCTTCAGCAGAGCAGGGTATGTACATATTTATAAAGTGTGCTTGCACCTCAGAGATGTCTGCTTGCTGTCTTTTTTATCATTCTTCAACTATGTCACATGCAGACTGGATACTATTAGCTTTTGTTACCTGAGGGCCTGTGGAATGATTGAACTGCTTCATAAAGCTTTCAAATGGAACCAGAGCTGCTTGTACTCAAAAGTAAAATTTCTTTGGTTTTTTGAGACAGCGTTTCTCTGTGTAGCTTTGCGCCTTTCCTGGGACTCACTTGGTAGCCCAAGCTGGCCTCGAACTCGCAGAGATCCGCCTGGCTCTGCCTCCCAAGCGCTGGGATTAAAGGCATGCGCCACCACCGCCCGGCCCAAAAGTAAAATTTCTTAATGAAAGACAATCTAATAGAGAATGTATAATGAGGTTCTCCACCCAACTGCCTGGGTTTCTCTTAGGGTAAATATAGTGGGGTTTTATGTTGTGGCCTTATGAAGGGGGAAAAAACAAAACAAAGGAGTACTTTTTTTCTGGGTCTGTACTCTTCTTAATGCCTCTTATTAGGGACTGTTTGCTGTGCCCTGAACAGGGCTATAATGTTCCTCCAAACATTTATTCTTTCCTGGCTGGTGACAGTCCTAGTATCTTGTCCTATTGGGATCAACTGGAATGAGAGTTCTGTTTTTTGTTTTGTTTTGTGGCAGGGTTTCACTTAGGCTGGCCTTGAACTCCTTATCCTCCTGCCACAGCCCTACAATCTTCCAGTCTCCTGCATGTGCTTGGCTGTGGTGGGAGTTTCTGAATGCCCATCTCTGACTGGTCCATCTGGTCCTAACTCCTTTCTTCATTGACTGTAGGAGACCCCAGAAAATACAGTGGGAAAAGCCCAAACAGATGCTGCAACACTCTGCAGAAATGATGGCTTGGTCCAGTGTTTGTCACCGATGCTAAAGTAGTTTTAATAATACACTAACTATGCTGTGTGTGACTCAAACACTGTTTTCCAGCCCTTTTCAGTTCAGGAGCACAGCTAGGAACAGAGAAACCAGGATCAAAACGCTAGCTGCTCTCTAGACTTTTCAAAGATGTGAAAGGTCTCTTTAGATGCCAGAGTTTTGATTGTTTGATTTTATTAATATTCTGTTTATTCTCATTGAAAGCTGTGTAATTATAGACTGGATGTTCTCTGTGTACTAGAGGAAGGTAGCTGTCTTTTAGCCAATAAAGCTTTACTCAGAAAATGTCAGTGGCTAGATTAATACATCTCTGAAATATGAACACATTTTAATAACTAGTTGAGAAATATAATTTGAAAACCTGCTTCTAAGTAGTCTGTGTAAATTTAATTTCTAAAACCTAATCTTTATGAAAATTTGGAGTGGTATTTATTCCAGTAAAATCTTATGGAGAATTTTTAATAAAGTGAATGAATTGTCAACTTCTCAATTAACTTTTATATTATTTAAGTGTGTGTATCTTTTCTGTGTCTTCATCTATGAAATGGAGAATTGGTATTTGAATTTTGCCTTACATTGTAAATATAGACGATATGTCCTACATAACATAGCTTAGTTACCCATCATGGTTTAATCAACAGTAGATAAGCCTTGGTCAAAGCACTTGCTGACTTTGCTCAAGGTTAAAGGAAGTATGCTGAATAGAGATAACTGTTGTTCAACTGCTTGCCTGAGCCTTGCAGATTTTTTGTGTGTGGGAAATTGTACTCATTATTCCATTTCTTCCTATCTGCGTAATACCTGGGAACAATTGACTCCATGTAATGCCACTCCCGTCGTGCTTATTACTGAACCATTTACTGCAAAGGAGACTTAAGCATTTTATTTGGGATTTTTCCCAGAGACCATTTGGTGACTTTCAAGTTTTTGTCTTCAGCTTTTAAACAAGTTGATATTAAAAGACTGTCGGGGTGGGGCAGTGTCATTGTCATGTTGGTGTTTCTATCTAAGTGGCTCAAGAGTGCAAATTGCAGTACATACAAAAGTGAAAGCCTCGTATGTCTCTCATCTCCCTGACCACTTCCGGAAGAACCTGCCACATGGGCCCCATCACGAGATTTAAACCGGGTTCTCCCGGTCGTAAAAGACCTGAGGCAGACTGTTGATTTCCCCACTGTTGTGTGAATTTCATTATTCAGTGGCCTTAGTTCTAAAATTTCCAACATACGGTTCTGTAACATTACATATTAGGGAGTGGGGCCAGGGCTTTGCTTAGGCTTAAAAAAATGCTCTTGGAGTTTTCTTGTTTCCACGATTGAATGCTTTGAAACTACTAGAACATGTATTCTGATCCTTAAATGTACAAGTTAGAAAAGAAACAAATGTGAGCTGTCAGATCAACTACAACCAGCAGTCTAATAAAACTGACTCATATCCAAATGGCTGCACTTACACTTCCCTCCCATTCTGGAGAGAATGTGGCCGGGGGAGGCAGTGTGAGTCACCACCTGCTTTGTTTGACATATGCTTCCTTCCATAAATTGGGAATGGCAAGCAGCACAGTGCTCTGGGCTCGCCTCGGAGAAATAGCTGCTGCAGCTTTGCTTGAGCAAAACAGGGATTCTCTTTGGAAAAATGAAGCTGAGACCTCGTTTTGACTTTAAATGTCGGGGAGGGGGAGAAGAAATGGACAGATCCAAACAAGGAACACTTAACTTGTAAGTACCATTTTCAGAGAATGGAGAAATGGTAGGAGTGTTTGTGGTAAATTTCTTCCTGAGGCATAAGTGGTATTTAAGAGAAATTGGGCTGTTAAAAAGGAATTGGCAGCTATTTCATGAAAGGGGCTTGTTTACTTAATAAGAGTGCTTGAAATGGACAGTAAAAAATGAACAAGGAAGAGGGATATGATTTGTAGTTAGCATAAAGATTTGTCCTGATGATGTTTAAATTTGCTTAAGTTTTACAACTGTTTTAAAAAATATATTTGATATAGGGAATCTTCTCTTAGGCACTTTGAGGGAGGAAAGAGGATTATGCCCGTCTCTCATTTCCCTACAAGTGGCTCTACAAGGCTCCGTGGAGCTGTGCCGAATGAAGCTTTAATGTAAGATTGTCAGGGACACTGGCAGAAGCGGGATGAGAAGTATGTTTATAGCTGCATTAAGTTTTTAAGCTCAGCCGCTGCTTTGGGATTATTTTTTAATACATGCCAGACATTCTTCTGATTTCTATCCTGGCTGGCTCTCAGGTTCTTCTCTGTCTGTGTGAGACTAGGGTGTTAGTTGTTTTAAAGCTTGAGTTGTCGCAGCCAGGGCGTTTTCTGTTTCGGCATATGCCCCCCTCCCCACTTTCCTGAATGAGTGTCCTTTGTATAACCCCAGTAATTCAGAAATCCTACAGTGTTAGGGACTGCCCTGTCATGTGACTTAGGTACTAGGTGTTAGTTTCGATTGGTCAGCAGCTAATTGGTGGGTCCCTATAAGAAGTCCCGGGTCAGGCGACTGTCCATTCTCTACTCTGCCGCTGGCTACTCCTCAACAGGGGCAGTGTGGGGGAGGGATCTGTCCAGTGATTCCTCCTGTGATAGATGAGCAAGTAATTGCTGCCCTGGGGGGTCTGCACACCAGTGGAAGACACTCAGATTACATGCGGCTGATTTGATCAAACTCTGGCTTCCTGAACTGGTAACTGTCACTTTAATGTAGCTTACTGATTAAACGGAGAAAAATGTAGCTGAAAATGTATGCCAAGAACTTGTGTGGACTTATTCCCTGTCCCCTTTCCCCTTTGTCTGATTAATTTTGTCACAGGAATGAAACGTAGATAAGTCGTTAGAAAACTTTTGTAGGAACAGTGCCTCGTGTGAACAGAACAAAGCCGTTTTATAATCAGATTTACCAAGCTGAGAAGAAGGAGTTTCAGCAAACGGAAGCTGCAGTGTTCTATCACCAGGAAACAGTGTGTTTTCCAGAATCGGTAAGTGAAAAGTGGCACTGTCCCTAATAGATCTCATATGGTGTGTGGGAGAATTGCTAAATTGTTCACAGACCCCTAACAAGTGTGTAGAACAGAAAACATAACAAGAAATGTAGGAATTTTAAAAGCAGGCAGCTCCACAGTATAGCGTAAAGGCTGAGAAAGAACCAGGTAATTAAAAAAATGGACTGAGTGTTACCAGTTCAGCCAGGTCTTACTTTTTGAACGTGGTTTCCTTTTCCGTGGAGGAAAGCATAAAATCAAAACAGGTTGTTTGAGTTGCTACATTAACTTTCCATGGATAGCGATTTGCATTTCAGTCTGACTAGCAAGTTGAAATTTGAAGACATACTTTCAGGATTAGTTGGCTCCTTTGCCTTCCCATTGTGCCGAGTACTTTATCTAGATTTTTTTCAAAATGGAAGTTGAAGCAATGCACCCAAAACATCTTATTGTGAATGGCAGATTATGATGGTCATGGATTTTGTTTTGCATTCATGTCATGATTTTGAGATTGTACTGTTTGATTACATTAATAAAGCAAAAGGGTGCCTATTTCCATATAGTCCATAACATTTTCGAGATGGTAATAAGCAACTCTTAGTGGCATAGTGCCTTTGTGTCTGGGTTCCTTTTTCTGAAACCTGAAATTCAGTTTTCTGATTTTGAATCTGTGCTGCTACTATGCTTAAGGTTTCCCCAGGAAGATAATAAAGCTTGAATATCTGTGTTCCTAAGGACAGTGAGATAGCACAGTTTTATATTAAATGTGAATGTTTGATTACTTGACTTTGCTTAATATAAAGATTATGTGGAGAAAGGTTGAGCACAACAGGCAAAGATTGTTGGGTGGCTGCTTGATTTTTGCCAGTTTCTCATTGGTCAGTGGAAATAATCATGTGATATATACTTACATCGAATTATAGGGAAAATATTTTAAGTGTCAGTAATTATATAGGTATTCTGAGAAATCTTCATTTATAAATGCTAACATGCAATTACACCCTGTGAACAGAATTGTGCTTTATTATACCCTATAAAGGGTATAATATTGTTTATTTGCTTTAAGTATCTCCAACTAAATTAAAAGTTAGACGAACATTCCTGACTTCTGCTTCCCATTCTGCTGCATTTGAAATCATAAAATTCTCAACTTAAAACAAGAAAGCTATAACACGATAACAAAGCTACGGTTTCTCTGTTAATTGAGTGGGGTGCAGATGGGGAGGAGAATGAGTGCAGTAGAATCTGTAAATTGCCCCCTCACTTTACATAGTGAACGTTTTTCTTAGGCTAATAAACACTTCCGTTTAAATTGAAAGACAAGCATGGCTGTGAAATGCAAGTTTGTGTGAATGTCACAAGTCATTTGACTTAATGAAAGTATACCCTTCTGACCTGCATGAATTTATAGGTTTGAGAGAAAGACAGAGAAATGGTGGAATGAAAGCATTTCTAGATAATACTGCTAGTGTTTTCAGAGAGTAATATTTATTTTTACCTCTATTTCATGTAATTACTTGAATAAAACATGGTGGTTTAATATTGGGCTAAATACATGCTGGATAGGAAAAAGACTATATAAAACCTTGATGATCTTCAGGCATTTAGAAGCCATTGTCTTGAGTGATAAAAACGGGATTTAATGTAAACTGGAATAGTAAATGTTACAAAGTATGTCCTAGAATAATTTTTCCAAAAGCTTCATTTTTATTTTACTTTGTCATTCTTTATTCTCAGTGTATTATTTTAAAATATACATATAAAGCATCACTCTGAAATCCCTCTTGGAGTTATTGAAAGTATTGGTATTTTGGTATATTTGGTAAATTACATTAATGACATATATTTGTGGGTTTGTAAAAACAGCAAAGTGAAAGGAAGCCATTTGAGAGCCATAACCTCTCTCCAGGAGTATTTCAGAAGTATACTATATACCTTTGTCTGATTAAGTTTTATTGAGGTAATCTCAGTCTCTCTCTCTCTCTCTCTCTCTCTCTCTCTCTCTCTCTCTCTCTCTCTCTCTCTCTCTCAGTGTAAACTTAATTCCAAGGGGGGGGGGTTAATAACCAATGAAATGACTGTCTGTTTCTTAGAACTCAGATAAGAGTAGTTGAGTATTGTCATATAGCTTAGAAATCTCAGTTCATAAATGTCATTCAAACCTTGTGTTACAGTCTCATTGAGTAGGGGGATAATAAGAAGGGGAAAAAAACATGAAACATCCTAAATAGGAAACACTGTATTCCTTTCTTGTCTTCTTGACTAGCTTTTGTGCATGGGCTGACCATAGGAGTGGTAAGCATAGGTTTTGAAGAAAGCAATACTTATTACCAACATATAGAGTAATAAGAGGTCAGCTTCTGTAAGGTTGTGCACATCTTTCTCCAGTGATGACCAGCAGTAAGAACATCTTTAACCAGTTATTGTAGGCTCTGCAAGAGCTGCAAATATTCAAATGCAATGTGAAAAGAACCACTTTGGCATAGCCTTTATTCCTCTCCTCTGGGCCGACTACAGAAGCTCCTGTGTTCTTGCAAGACACATGCTTTTCAACCAACTGTTCATTTGCCATTTACTAGCTTGTCTTCTTTTTCCTAATGGAATAGACAGGATTGCATTATTAAATAGCCATGAAATTTAAACAGTTTATCTTATTCAAAAATCACTTTTAACATTCTTTAAGAAGAGTTTTTGAAACCTGTTTATGGGAATGAATTGGCAGGCTGATAATCTAGGAAACACTGTATCAGAGCAAGAGAGTGTTTAGACTAATATGTACCATAGATTAATTATGTACTTGTGCATTTTCCATGCCTGAAGGCATTTTCTACTCCCATTTTCTATTACTCAGTGGCTTTGACAATTTATTTTGTCACTAGCACATTAAGAATTAGTGAGGAAAAGATTTCAGTAAGGTTTGTCCCTTACTTAATAAATATAAAGCTACCACTTCTTCTCAATTCAAACAGGTCTAACAAATGGGGAAAAGTTTTGTCATCAACTGACAGCAAGTCCTGACCTGAGCTTACACAAGGACACTTGTATTCTTTATTTAGCTCACTAAGTCTGTATGTTTTATCACAGAAATACTCGCCATACTTGATTCTGAAATAGAGTACCAGACCTCCCCTGTAGTTACATACATATGTGTGTATATAAAGTAATCACCCTCTTTATAAGATTTATAGTAATCTGAGTGTCTCCTGCCAGATAAGGGTTTCTGACTCTTGAATTAACATTTATTGGACTAATGCTTTGTGTTAGGTACTTTTCTAAATGTATCCCTGGCATCTAGCACAATGCCTACCAGTTCCTGATAGATACCCAGGAGGTATATTTTCATATTAAATGTTTTACATATATTAGCTGAAAAGCCAATATGATTGTTATTCCATTTTGTGTAGAGAAAACTATAACAGAGAGGTGAAACAAATTGCCCAATGTGACATAAAGGGAAATAATGGAGTCAGGTTTTGCAAGCACTGAAACTCAGAGGGGTGTGTCACCTGGTCCCCCATTCCTGGTTACCCTATGCCTAGTGTCATCAGAAAGTGGTGATATCATATCACCACTATGATCATTACCAGGATCCTGTTTGAAATGTTTGTTAACCGGTGGGTGGTGGGACTATGGGAATTCCAGGGCCTTAACCTCTCTATCAGTGAATCAACCTGACTTTTTAAATTGGGAAATACTAAAAGAAATTACATGTTTTTTTAACCCCAAGGCAATTTCAGTTGAAAAAGTCCTTTTTTTGGGGGGGGGGTTGAGACAGGGTTCCTCTGTGTAGCTTGCTTTGGAGCCTGTCCTGGAATTTACTCTGTAGCCCAGGCTGGCCTCAAACTCACAGAGATCAGCCTGGCTCTGCCTCCCAAGTGCTGGGATTAAAGGCGTGGGCCACCACCGCCCGGGGGAAAAAGTCCTTTTATAGCTATTTTCTGGGACTTGTTTTTTTAACCCAGAAGGAGGTCTAGGCTGTGAAGGTGAAAGGGTCACCCCCTGAGTGGGTGACTGTTCTGTATAAAAGTAATGCTGGGCACAGTAAGTGCCTTCAGGAAATCCGGCAGCCCCAGGAAATTGAACTGCATGACTAAATCCAGAAAAAGATGCTTTTAACGGTGCTTCTCAAAAACATTTCTACGTTGTTTCTCGTTTCCCGATGTGTTTCTAGTGATTTAAAAAAAACTTTCCAGCCCTCCGTTTTACTTCCCTGTCCCTCTGTCCCCACTTAGTTTTTCTTTTTAGCACTTCCTTTTGGCATGTTGTATATTTTATGTCCTCGCTTGACATTTTAGTCAACCACTCCTGGTATTGTTAGCTTTGAACAGGTATAAAAATTTCTAGATATATATTTTGATCTGTCTTTAGCTTCCCTTATGTTCATTTCAAAATGGTATTGATAAGAAAAAAGTATTTTGCCAATTTTTTTCTTTTTTGTTTTTTTTGTATTTTTTTGTATCATTTTATTAACTACTTTGAACTTACAGAGATGGGCAGCAGAATTTGAGCATGTATTTCAGTTAAAATATCTTTTGTTTTTGTTTTTTGTTTTTTTGAGACAGGGTTTCTCTGTGTAGCTTTGTGCCTTTCCTGGAACTTGCTTTGTAGACCAGGCTGGCCTCAAACTCACAGAGATCCGCCTGCCAGTTAAAATATCTTAACACTTACCTACTAAACTGCTCTTGTTTCTTTGAAAAGTAGTCAATTGCTGTACGTACTTTATATTGATAATGTAAGTGATTTAATGTGAACATCTTCTGATTCATGTTCTTATGATTCTATGCTATAACTTATCTCTAATTACTCCATTTATCCTAATTTTTCCACCCTAAAGTGTTTAAGCTAATCTAAGACATAAAGCATACCACAGTGCTATTAGCTGTAAATTATGTTGTTTTGTAAACACATCATTATAGCTCATTTCCTTTCATTTTTCTAAAGGAACAGATTTGATGCATATAGAAGTTGGATTTGATGACTTTTGTAAATCAGTATAGCAACTGAAACAGTTGCTTTTCTTAGCTACAGTAAATAGCACCTATTTTGTAATAACGTTAAAAATATTAATGTAAGTGTGGTGATAACTTTGCACATTAAATTTGTTAATGTAAACTGAGCAGTGGTAGTGCACACTTGGGTGGGAGTCAGGAGGCTTTCTGTGAGTTCAAGGACATCCTGGTCTATAGAGTGAGTTCTATGATAGCCAGGGCTACACAGAGAAATCCTGTCTCAAAAAACAAAGCAAAACAAAATACGTATTTCGAACATTTCAGGGACTGGATGGTACTACACACCTTTAATCCCACACTTGGGAGGCAGAGGCAGGTAAATCCGAGTTCAAGGCCAGCCTGGGCTACAGAGCTAGTTCTAGGACAGCCAGGGCTTTTTATAGTGAAACCCTGCCTCAAAAAACAAAAATAAATACATAAACAAATAAATAAATAAATAAATAAATAAATAAATAAATAAATAAATAAATAAATAAATAAATAAATAAGGTGGGATCTTCTGTAATGAAGGCCAGGCTAAGATTTCATTTTAAAGGACGTCTCCTTCTTGCTATGAAAAAAAAAGTATTTCCTGAAGCACTTGGCTCTTCTGTTTGGGGGCTTTATTTTTGGTGTTACTATAGTTTTTCTGACTTGATTCTTTTTTTAAAATGGACAAAATATTTTTTTAAAAGAGAATATTGACATCCCCCCACCCCATAAGTACCTTAATTTAGTTCTCTACTACAAAAAATGGGTTGAATTTATTTAGGCCCAGCAATGCTTTGCTTTCACAGTTCTCATTACCTGCATACAAAATAATCTCCAAATCTGAATTGTTTATTATATAAGAGGCCCAATCTTGAGGATCAAATGTGCTTGTGCTTGAAGTATACTTTGCCCCTAGGTAGGTGAGTGACTCCATTGGTTTCTCTAAACCACAGAACCTGAAGAGAGTACACGTTAGGGAACCTGGAATAATGGTGCTCCACTAACTTGTATTTCCCAAACCCTATCAGTTTAGCCCCAGGCCTGTAGGTTTATGCTAACATATGTGACATTGGGTACCACAGATGAACTAAAAGGCAATAATTTGTTGGTTACCATTTGTTGTGCAGTTAGTGTGTTTGAGAAGCTGCTCCTGCAGGTACTCAACGGGCAGTAATGAGTGATCCTCGTAGCAAGCTGTTGATGCCACTGTCGTGTCTTCTTCATAAGTGAGGAGGCTAAAGCACACGGAAACAAAGGAACTTGCTTCTGGCCACTAGGCTGTTGCCAGTACAGATGAGAAGCACTTTGGGTCCAAAGGCAGAATAAAAGTTGAGTGAAGTTGAAAGTTTCAGCAGTGATCTTCTCAATTCTGTTCTAGAGAGTGTCACATATTTCAGACCTGGGCCTCTCAACATTGAAATCCACAGTTGACTTTTGATACTCCTTATTTCACAAATCAGTAGGAACAGTCTTAGTCACTGGTGTTTTATGAGTTTTAATTAGGCCACTGAAGTCCAGGAGGGGAATTCCTTGTTTCGAAAGTTGATCTAAATCACTAATAAATTTACTCATCTAACTTCCCCTGTTCCCTGTTCTTTTCCTCTCAAGGTTTTATTTGAAGTTGGGGGTGGATGGGAGATGTATGTGAGCACTTGAATCCTCAGGATGGACTTTTGGAAGAAAGGTAAAGTGAATGAGAATCTATATTCATAAATATATTCTACCTTTATCTCCATCTAGTTCTGAAGTCTTTCTCTATAGACTAGAGCTTGGAAGCAGCCACTGATGCCCATTTAAAAACAAAACTTCCTGTTTGCACCAGTACTTAAGTTTCAGATTATGGGAATACAGCTTGAAAATTCATAGTTGCTTCTTGCTGTAAATGCTGAGAATTTGATTTAGAAGGTAGATGAGGGCAACCCACCCAAGTCCATGAGTTTAAAGTACTTGGAAATCTCTAAAAATGCTTATTGGTCTTGAACTGGGCCTGCCCCTAGGAGGATATGCTAATGGGACTTGCCATCATTCCATAATTTTTTTCTGCTAATTTATTCATCCTAATTTACACTTATTCAACCTCTTCCTGCAGACAGAGGGGAAAAAAGGACAGGATGAGAGTCCATGGAATGTGACTGGAGAGAGGAGTAGCTATAAGCTGTAAACTACCTCGGTCCATTCTCCCTCAGTAAAGGCCTTTTGTTTGATACTTGTTGTTTGGGGGTTGTATACCTCTCACAGACTGACACCCAAGTCTTTGAGCATCTTCTCTCAACCAGTGTCCTTGCTTAAACTGAGACAAAAAGGCTTAGGAGGCAAAACTGTGAAGAAAAATGGCTAAACGGGCTGATTGACTTCCTTTCTTCATGGCCAAACTTTAAATATAATCTCAGAACCTACACTTTCAAACCATTTCTATAAAGAACAATAAATGTTTACAAAAGCCTCCCCAAAGGTATCTTGGAAAATAATTTAAAATAGAATTGAACTCTGATTCTGACCTCAGTTAAATTTGAGGGTTTTTGTTTTGTCATTTGTTTTGTTGTGGTAGTGGTGGCTATTTGCTTGTTTTTTAATCTTTAAGTAAAGCTGTGAAAAGTAAGGAGGGATACTTTTCTCTTTGTGGGGAGAGGGACATATAACACTACTAACACTCCTGAGAAAGTATTGCTTGTCACGATTCTGGAAGCAGGATATTTCTCTTGAATACTTATAATTAAGTACTAAGTTCAACCTGGATTTCACTGCCCACAGGTCTTTTAAAAATAACCATTTACAGCCGGGCGTGGTGGCGCACGCCTTTAATCCCAGCACTCGGGAGGCAGAGGCAGGCGGATCTCTGTGAGTTCGAGGCCAGCCTGGGCTACCAAGTGAGCTCCAGGAAAGGCGCAAAGCTACACAGAGAAACCCTGTCTCGGAAAAACCAAAAAAAAAAAAAAAAAAATAACCATTTACATTCTTCTCAAGGGAACAGAATGACCTGTGTCTTTTAGACAGAAAGACATTGAAGATAATATGTATTTAATTGTGAATTTTGAAGTTTGCATTCCTAGTGAACACATGGTCCAATTGGGAGGCATAGGTAATGTAGATCAAAGTTAATTGGTCAATCAAATTTGTCAACACAGGGTTTCTTACTTGCCCACATCCTGTTTGTCATTCACACACTAATAACCCCACGATGGTGGGTAGGTTATATATCACCTATTCTTTCTTCTTCTGCACTGTTTCTCTTAACCATAGTCAAATGGATCATTCCTTCAGTCCTGTACTCCTAATCCTTAAAGTTTGGATTTTTTTTGGTAAGGTGTTAATAAAAGTTGTCTTGAGTGGTATGTAGGAGAATTACCAGACAAAGATACCACACAGAAAAAGGTTTGTTTTAGTGTTCTGAGTGTAAGAATGCAGTGGTGAATAAAGCCCTCACTCACATGGTAGGTGGAAAGAAAGAAATATGTAAATGTTATGGCAGAAAACAGAACCAACCCAGACAGATAGGGAACATTGCAGGCTTCGAATTCCGCTGCTATCTAGAGCTGATTGGAATGCCTCTTTGATATAGTGACATTTGTGCAGAGAAACCCATAGAGAGATCAGGGACAGCCATGATTTAAGCTAGAGGAAGAAAATTTTAGTAAGAAAAAAATAAAAACTACAAAACACATCAAGATGGACCATTTAGTAATCTGTTCTCCATAGTTAAGATGCTGCTGTAGGTATGAGGTACTAACTAACTAGAGGAAGGGGGTATGATATCCATAGAGAACCTGGAGAGATGAACCCCTTTGCATCTTATAAAACCAAAGTGGGTATAAATTGTAGATGGCTTCTTTTGATAAAATGCTTCTTTTGTGATTCTAATTCTGATGTTTTATTATAAAGCTCCTAGTATAGAAAGATGAAGGAGCTCAAGGTGGATAGTTCCTCCTATCCCATGCATTCAGAGAAGTGGTGGCTTGACTATTTAATAATGATGTTTCCATTGATTTATGTTTACCTATAACTGTCTTCCCATTGGGCATGTCTTTGTGCATTTTGTTTGGAATTTGAAGCAGCTTAGGTTTTTTACCAATTCTATTTTATATTCAGTCAATTAGTTAAATTCTTCATTAATCTATAAGAAAATTTTGTTTGGCACAGGTTAGAAAACTACTGCTTTTACAATTCGAGATGAAAAGGGAACCTAGGAAAATGAAAGGAGTTGGTCAGCTGGGAAGGGTTGGAAATTATACCTTTTTAAAGTAATATTGTATTGAAAACAAGTACTTGCCATTCCTGAAAGGTAGATGACCGCCATAAATTCTCCCTGCTGTTCTTTTTGTAATCTGATACTGAAAGTCTTGGTTTGTGCATAAAGGATGTGCAATTAGTGTCATCTGGGAGTTTGCATGGCAAACGTGAGAACAACCATAAAGGATATATATACCATTATGTAGACAACTCTACTAGACCAGGCCTGACAACCGATGGGGCTTGATAACTACTCATAGATCTTACCTAAGTGGATCTTATTTCATAATACCTGAGCCCTTATCCAAACATCTTATCATATGGCTTGACTAATTAGTGATGCATTCCTGTTAACCCTTTTCTTCTTTTTAGCAAGCAGCCCACCTGCATAAACGAATGACTGGTTTTGTTGTTTATAGTTTGGTTCATTTGGGCCAGATATTATCATTGCCTCTGGCTGAAACTGACTAACCTGTTTCACTTGTGTGGAAGGAGAAATGAATATTTTGGGAACAGTTGTGTGGTGTCGGGGAAAAGGGCTACATTTGCTGCTTCCTTGACATGACTCAAGAACTCAGTGTGAAAACAGAGAGAGGATTGGGACGTTATGAACACACCCATTCCCTTGGATGCATTGCATATGGAGCCAAGAGGAAGATGGAGAAATGGACAGGGGAGGAGGTAGGGGTGTCCCAGGGGATAAATCTCTGGTTCCAAGCCCAGGTGTCAGCCCTTCATTCTTCCTGGTGTCCCAGACATGCTGTCCATTCCTGCTTACATCCTATGAAGGAAGTGCTTATGACTGACCATCACTTTGCTGAGGAGATGGGGAGGATGAGGAATTCAAGAATGGCCTTTTAAGGCATCATTTTGTATGAAATTGTCCTGTGGACATCTCTCTGCTGAATCTACATTCTAGAAACAGAAAGATGATTTCTTGCCTTGAAGACAACAGCATGTTTTGTCTGTAAAGATTGTGTTGTCCTCAGTCCTTCTTCCAATACCTAATCTCATGGACTCTATCCTTATTCTCTGTGCCCTGGGATTTCCCCCTCTTCTCATGTAAATCCAGACAACTTTCTGCCTGTGTCCCGAAACCTTGGTGTTTCTGCCTTTGACTTGAGTCTCTTTGAAACAATTGTGTGGTGGCTGGGCACTGCAAAATGAGTCAGTTCCTGCAGTTTGGTTACAAGTTCTCAAAAAGTATTTCAGAATGTGGATGTGGTGAGCAAAGTCATTTTCCAGGCATCTAAAAGGAAACCCACATCAACTGTAACAATTGAGCGACGATATGGTGGTGCCACACAACAGAACTAGGCCGGCTTTCTCTCAGAGCAATTCCTTGAACTGCCCTCCAATTTAGCTGCTGTTAACATATCCCCACTGGGAATTCATGGTCTTGTTTGCATGTCACGTTTTATCTGCCACCATTTGCACAAACAATGTGACATGGGTTTTAACTTTATTTACATTTAAATATGGGCCTGGGTTTTCTATATGAGAAATTATTGTTTTATAAAATAGAATTGGTAGGACTAGTGTGCAGTTAGAATATTTGAAATGTGACGTATGGATGAAAAATGGGTAATTTTTCTGAGGAGTAACCAAGGGGATTTTTTTGGGTACCATGTAGTATATTCATTCATTAACCTTGCAGCAGCAGTCATATAAGTAATTAAATTCTCTTCAAGCTCCTCAAACAGAATATAGGCTTTAGAAAATATTTTGTAGAAATTTTTATTTATTCATGTACCATTAATTCTGTAAAATTTGATTGAGTTTGTTTCAACCACTCCTGGAAACTGATGACATTTTCAATAATGAGAAACCAGCAAGAATAAAACATTGGCAAAGGATCTCAACATACCTTTCACTAAAGAAGATACTCATATTGTATAGATAAGTGCACGTATAGTGTTCAGCATCATTAGTCATTAGGGAAATGTAAATAAAAACTATACACTATTTGAATGGCTGAAATGTAGAAGGCTGACTATTAAGTTGAGGTTGAGGATGCAGGAGTTTGGGGCTCTTAGATATTTAGGAAGGAATGTGAAATGGTAGAAATATTTTAGAAGACAACTTGGCAATTTCTTAGAATGTAAAACATTCACTTACTGTGTGATCAAGCTGTCCCATTTAGAGTGACAAAAAAAAAGCCATGTGTACATGAATGTTATAGTTATGTTAATAGTTATAGTCAAAACCTAGAAAAACCCAAACGTCCAGCTGCAACTTAATGGACAAACAAATCACAGTGAATCTCAATGGGTACTGCTCAGAATTGGAAAAAGTTACTATCATAAATAAAGTGAGGGACCCTTACGAGAATACACTGAATGTAATGCTGTTTACATACATTTCTAGAAAATGCAAAGAAATCCTTAATGGCAGAAAGATGAATAATTGTATCAAGTGGAGAACAGGGTGGCTAGCAAGAGGGGAAGAGTTAAAATGGGGCACAAGGGCACCAGATCTAGGGGATAATTTCACTTCCTTATTCATTTATGTTGATGTTTTCCAGAATTCCCGATCATCTAAATTAATTATGTATAGTTTTGCATTTGCTTATTCCTTGATTTTAGAAGAATCTGAAGAAAACAAGGTATCATTACAGCAGACGGAGTGGTTGAAAATGTCCCTGTTTGCTAAAAATCAAGATTACCTTCTCCTAAGGAGGAAAAACCTGTTAGAGTTTTAATGGTTTTGGTATAGAAACATAGTATTTTCTAGGATAGGTGAATGTAGTCTGTAGCCACCCTCATCTTTCTCCACCCGTTTGTCATTGAAATGAATGTATTTTTTTTCACAAAGTGATCTCCCATTCCCCAAATTGGTAGAGCAGCTGCCTGCTGGCTTTATAACATGATTTTAACACACCATTGTTGTAGGGCTCCTATGTAACAAGGCTGCAGTTTCAGAAGCTGGTTATAAGGTACCTACCTCATTGTGTGCAAGCCTTTCTATGGTCATGTGGGTTGGTATTATTTTATTCTGATGAAGAATAAGCAGGCTCAGAAATGCCCAGCTGTTTCCTGGATCATGGAACCCTTGTGTCACTTTGAGATTGGTCAAGACTCTGAGCTCATTTCCAATTCTTCCTACAAGGACACTAAATAATAATTGATTTCAAGTGATTCACAAAACCACAGGTAAAGGCAGATGTTACTGATTTTTTTTTCCTGGAAGACTGATTTATTGCCTGGTATCTTTTTTGGACCTAGACCGTGTTGGTAGCATATTTATTCTCCAGGTACCCATCACTTTAAATGTCCTTCATTGTCTCTCATACTTTTTCCCATTTGTGGTTTTGAGAAAATTGCCTCCAGAGCACTTATTACATAATTTGCCACCCAAACTTGTCTATGTGATAAACTATGAGCTGTCTGGGTATAGCCTTCTGTGCTTTGGGAGATGGTACTTAACGTGTTTTGAAGGGACATGAGGAGAGTTCTATGGGCAAGTAGGTTTAAGAAACTAAGAGGAACAACATCAAATCTTGCCTTTTAGCTTGCTCAGAACCTTAATATTTGTAGGGAAATGGTACTGTGTGTTTTTCTCATTTGTAATAGAGTCTAAGAACTGTGGGTTGGTTTTTTGTTTGGTTGATTTTGCTTTTGTTGTGGCTTGTATCCTAGTTGAGGGCTCCAGTAGACACACTGTTTTGTAACTTGTTTGGTGTATTGATAAAACGACATTTTTCCTAAGGGCTTTCTGTCTGTTTCCCATTCGCATGTTGGAAACAAAGCATAACTTGTTTTCTTACTGGATCTTGAGAGTTCTTGGCTCTGAGTGTTGTGTTCATGATTGGAGAACTCATCAGCTGTATTTTAGCTTTAAAAACATTAGGAGGTATAGTAATAAAGGTGGACAAAGAATGTAAGATTCTGTCTGGAAATGAAACTCAGTCAAAGAAAAGTCTTGCTTTATTTCATTTTGACCAAATCATCTGGTACTGCTCTTTTATCAAATTATTATGGTATCTGCCAGTTTTCATAGGGAGAACTGTGGAAGAAATGTGATGATGGACATGACAGCTCACTTCAGTCTATCTGGGATTTCCATATTAGCACTACTACTCTTAAGATGGGAAAGTAAAAGAATGACCATGTTAGGGATTTTTTCCCCCTACTTTGTTCCCCAAACTACAGAGAGTTTGATCATCAGAGTAAGGCTTACAAGAAAGATTATGTCTGAAAATCAATAATAATTTCCCATGAGAATCTGAAACAGTCTTGATAGCATAGTAAGAGGGAGAATGAACATTGTTGTCAGAGGCTTAGAACTTTGAAGAATGCAGAGCCTTTTCTGAGTGGAGGGAGCACCTGGGTGTGGAGGCCAGGGCCTCACACATGGTAGGTAGACACTGCCACATGCTTAGTCACATCCCAGCCCTCTTACCCCACTCCCTTTTAAACTTATGGTTACATTCCTAAGACACATTGACGGTCACATCCAGCCCTACCTGACTTTCAGCTAATCCTTTCAAGGCATACTTCTCCTGACCCCCTTTTCCCCTCACAGAAAGAGGAACCAGATTTCCCCTGTGTTACTTACCATCAATATAAACAGCAATTTTATTCCTGTTATTTCCCCTTTCAACCTAGTAATGAAGTTGGCTACTGTTCCTCTGCACAGGAAGAAAGATTTCCTTCCTGTATCTCTTGCCTTCCGCCAAGCTTAGGAATAATCTTCCCTTTCTTGTGGACTCTGCACTCTAACATTTTCTAACTTTAATTAAACTGATCAAAGTCACTCCCTTCTCTTTCCAACCTTTCAGATTTTCTCATGTTGTACCTAGGTGAGAGCAGCCATCCAGGGAGCTTATGTCCTCACTGAGGAGTGTCAGGGTTGCCTGTCTTCTCTTACCCATGTTTCTGTTTTTGCTGCAGTGGTGGTCACCTCTCCTCCTTGCACTTTGTCACTTGTAGTGACCCTATTTAGTACCTACCTTCCTTTTTATATTGCATATTATGCAGTATAAAAATAGATGATTTCCAATGAAAAAAAGATAGCTCTCTCTCCTGCCTTCCCTCCCATTAGGAGGGAAGTTTTCCTCTCATGTGGTGCATGGACCAGAGGTCAACCACCAGTGTTGTTCTTGGGTGCTGTCAACCTTGTTTTAAGGCAGGTTCTCTTGTTGAACTCATCAATTAGAGGAGGCTGGCTGGTCAGTAAGCCCAAGGAATCCAGCTCTCTTCATCTCTCTCCATTGCTGTGATTACAGTAGAACACCACCATCCACTGTTGTTGATGGCTATTGCTTCTTTCTTTTTCAAACTTTGGTGCTGTAGACCAAATTCAAGTCTTTCTTTTGTGGCAAGTACTTTTCAGACTTTACCAATCTTCCCTGCCCTACTTTTCTTAGTTTTTCATCTTAATGTTGACTCATTTTAAATGATGTTTCTCTAAACACTTGTTTTTGCTCTACAGAACTGGCTATGTGAAAACTCTTCCACTATGAGCAACTAAATTGAGGAGAGAAGAATACTATTGTCAAGGTGTGGCATGGTCCTTAGTTTGTATTATGCTGCTTCCAACAAAACACTTGCTCTTCTGACCAATTGAAGAAATGGAGTCATTTTCACTGTGTAACAACCAGCCTCAACCAGTTTGGCAGTAAATACTTGGTTGTATGTTAGGACTATATATTGCTCTCTTTCTCACATTCTCTAAAGTTTTTGCAACACTCTTCAGACCACTCTTTAAAGTCTCCCTTAGGTTTTCCGTTTTCTCCTTGTTACATACACTAGTAGAATCCACCTAGGGAATTGCAAAAGAATGAGACTCCATTACTACCTAAAACTACCTGTGTTCTCACAGGAGTCTGCATTTCTTTTTTTTTATTTTTATTTTTTTATTTTATTTTATTTTGAAGTACCATTCAGTTCTACATAACAGCCACAGATTCCCTTGTTCTCCCTCCTCCTGCCCCCTCTCCTTCCCCCCCGCCCAACCCCCATTTCCACCTCCTCCAGGGCAAAGCCTCCCCCGAGGACTGAGATCGACCTGATAGACTCAGTCCAGGCAGGTGGAGGCTGCATTTCTAACCATTAATATCCGAGCAGTGTGATTTTGTTTCTGACCAGCACCGACAGAGCCATCAGTGAGCAAGCTCCAAAGAAGCATCCTTCTTTTCATCTCTGAGGAGGCCTAGAACTGGACCTTCCACAGGCAGGAGGAGTGAGCAACCAGCACATAAAGGGCCCACCACTTTGGACTGAAAAGAAGTTGTCTGAGAAGAGCTACAGAAGAACTAAAAATTCAGTACTTTGAAAATATTAGATGGCACAAGAGTTGGACATTGGTAAAAACAAGAGGCTTGGTGGTTAATATTATAACTGAGACCTACAGCCTGTGATGTTGAATGTCTTCAGAAAAATTCATATGGCTCAAAAGTGAGACCCAATATGGGAAGGCCAATAATGGGTTGTGGTGAAACAAAGACCAAGTATTCATTATTGGAGAAAGTGACTGGTTTATTTATTTATTCTTTCCATTATTTATAGGTTCAGAAAACAATTATTTGATGTGCATATTTTCTTATCATTAATGGGATGCAAATTTTATTCTTTCCATTATTTATAGGTTCAGAAAACAATTATTTGATGTGCATATTTTCTTATCATTAATGGGATGCAAATTTTATTTCCCTTTTTTAAGGATAGGAATCCTTCACTGCCTTGCACATTGCTGACACTGTTTCTAGAAAATGCCTTAGGTGTTTTTTACAGAGAGGAGGGAGAGAGAGAGAAGGAAGGAAGGGAGACAGTGGATTTAAGGCAATTGATTTCTGGAATTTGTACACACACACACACACACACACACACACACACACACACACACACACACCAAAAAAAACCCCTGTGTGTCACTTAGGTAAAGTTATCCCTTTTCTCTAAGTGTATTTCGTGAGCAAAACCCACTTCTCATCCAGTAATTGTTTAAAAATTAATCTTTTTCATTCAGAGGGATTAAAGGCATGTATCTAATTGGTAAATATTATTTTCAAAAACTAGTCTGAGTCTGTCTTTATTAGCTGGAAGAGGTTTCATCCTTAGAAGCATGTTTAGGATCTTGTGCCAACCCAAACCCTTCCCAGGCCTGTTCAGGCTAGAATTATTTGGCAGAGAATATCTTTTTAAAAGTGTCATGAACAGGAATGTCCCAGAAATGTTCACCTCAAACCTCAAGTTGACTTGTAGAACAATTTACTAAATAGAGAGATGTGAGGATCAAGTGACCATCAGCTGGTATAAATGTTTTTGGTCAATGTAGTCACAGGACCTCAGGTATGCAAGAGTTAGACAGGCTGCCACCACGTGCCTGGTTATGGTGATAGCTACTCTAACATAATGCAGAAGGAATCTAAGCTCACAGGAATGTACTTTAATTAGACACCTGCATTTCAAGGGTGGTTTCTCCAGAATCATTTAACCCTGTGGCACACTGTGTGTTTTTGAATGCATTGCTTTCCTGGTCTATACTTACTGTTAATTAGACTTTTTGTTCTTTAACATTTCAGAGGCATGTGATTTTTATCAACAGATTTATTGAAGAATGATAAAGAAAGAACAACATGTACTTCATGTGGGAAGTTTGAGTGTGGATATACGTAAACACCTATGATGCCATAACCCAATTCCTCATAATCAAGGTAATCACAAGCCCAGTGCCTCCCAACGTTTGTTTCTCTCTCTCTCTTCCCACTTCATGTATATGTCTATTTTTCTAAAAACATAAAGCCCATTTTGATTTACTTTTAAATTAATGATGACTTTATTAAAGTCATGGAGTGGCTTGTACTCTTTTGGACCCATAAATGTGTTTGTGATAGAAGTTGACTGCATTCTTAAGTTAATGAAAGCCTGCTAGCATATGTATTAAATGTGCATGCCACTAGGGTGGCACCTAGAGACATGGGACAAAACTACTGGGATTAGAAAAATCACAGAACTAAAAAGTGTTCAGAAGCTTTTTTTAAAAAGAAAAAAGATTACTTTCTTTTAAGTTTTCAAAAGTCCTTTGAACACTTTCATTTTGCCAGTGCTGTGTGAGTAGCTGGTCCTTCTGCATTTACTTCCCACATAGTCTTTAGGATCAAAATTTCTTCCCAGAGCTGTCATTTCTAAAGTTAGGGATTCTTTTTGAAGGCAAAATAGAATTGCTTGAGGAAAAAAAAAATCTTCAAAAGCTATTGAGTGATTCTATTCTTGCTTTAGTTGAATGACCCTCCAAGCAGTGTTTCTTTCATTTCTAGGGAAACTGTGATTCAAGTGTTGTTTTCTAGCTGGAAGCTTCACTTTCATTGTCAATAAGTTTCTTCCTGGTTCAGCCTGTAGGTTGCTCCTGCTTAATTGTGGAGTGTGGGCTCTTCAAATTCTAGGGTAACTTTGCAAGTAATAGTTCCATCCCAGTTCAAAGCAGGCTTAACTTTTAATGAGTCTTTGCTTCCAATTTAAACCCTCTTTTCCCACCATAGACTAATGGTCATCAGCCAGAATGGAGACTTTTGTGTGTTGTTTGTGTTTTGTTTCTTTGTGGTTCAGCTTACATTCAGGCAGTGGATCCCATGGTTACAGTTCTTTCTCATACGGGAGTTTAATTACTAGGTAATAAAATTACGTAAACTTTGTAGTTTAGTACTGTTTCTTCTCTTTGAATTTCATTTATAAACTTTGAAAATGTGCTGTTATTCAAAATTCCATATCAAGGTGGTCACTATTGCATTGCTTAGTGGTGGGTACTAATGGAATAACCTTTAATAAAGTTTTATTTATAGTTGTTCATCATGTATTGACTATATAAGTTTAAGAGAAAAGGAAAGAATACATTAATCTTAGTTCTTTAAATACAGTGAATTTATAGGATAGATATGGTAACCTTTGAGCATTAAAACTATCACTTTTCTAATGTAAAGTTAGATTAAGATTTATTTTGTATTTACTTATTATTTATTTATAATGTATGTGTTAAATATTTAGTTTTACGGTACTGTTACAGTTCTATTTTTAAAATTTTGCCATCCTTAATTTGAAATTTTCGGCACAATAGGGATTGATTACATTCTGAATAATTTTATTGTTACATAACTTTATGTATGTATATAATTCTTTTCTATTAAATATCTCATGCCCTCCCTTCCATTTTTTCCCTTTTATTGAAAATAGATTCTTTTCTTATACAATGTATCTTGATTATAGTTACCCCCACTCTTTCTCCCAGTTCCTTCCCACCTCCTTTCCCATCCAGACTCACCCCTTTTCTGTCTCATTAGAAAAGAACAGGCTTCTAAAAGAGAACAACAAAACATAACAAAATAAAATAAAACAAAAACGATCACACCAAAGTTGGACAAGGTAAACCGATGGATGGAAAAGAGCCCCAAGTGAAGACAAAAAAATCAGAGACCTACTCATTCATACACAGGAGTTCTTAAAAAATTCTAAATTGAAAGCTATAATATATATGCAAAGGATCTGATACAAACCTGTGTAGGCCCTGTGCTTGTTGCTTCAGTCTCTGAGTGCTCTTTGCTCAGTTGATTTAGAGGACCTTATTCTCCTGATGTCTTCCATTTGTTTCTGTCTGCTGCAGGAGGAAGCTTCTCTAAGGATTGCTGAATAAGGCCTGAGAATAGCAGAATATCATTATGAGTCATTTTATCATTCCTTTTTAAAAAAAAAAAAAAAGACTAGTAGTATTTGGTTTTACCCTAGGTCTCCTGGCTATCTAATCTCTGATTCTTGATCACTCAAGCAGTGTATGGCTTCTATCTCATGGTATAGACCTTAAGTCAAATCAAACATTGCCTGGTTACTCCCAAAAGCTTTGTGGCACCATTACCCTAACATATATTTTGCAGGCAAGACAGATTATAGATCAGAGTTTTGTGGTTGGGTTGGTGTTTATGTTTGTCTTTTGATAATCTGCAGAGTAACTTCCTACATCAGAGACTAAGGATATAGGCCAAAGGTTTTATGTTGGCACTAGCTTGATCTCTCCTTCCTCAATGAGTTTTGTTTGTGTTGTCTTCAGCAATGGGGTCTTGCTGTCTGTTCTTGAAGAGCAACCTATATTTTTTTTCTACAGCCTGGATTGTTTGAAGATTTCCGTGTGGCCCCTTAGGCCAACAACTGAATTAGATGTAACCCAGTCCCAGTACTGGCTTTGAGACTCTCTCCCCCATTATTTGGAGACTTCATTCGAATTGCCTTCATATATCTTAGGAAGTTTACACTGTACTAGGTTCCCATGCCATCCCTAAAATCCCTCAATTCAAGCTGTATCTCCCTGTATTCTCTCCCTCAACCCTACCTGCCCTCCCCCTCCTAATCCTCCCATCCTTATCCCCTCCAGACCACCCATAACATCTATTCTATTTCTCCCTCCCAGGGAGAACATGTGTTCTCCCAATCTCTTCTTCCATACCTAACCCCTGAGTCTACAGATTGTAGCTAAGATTGACTAAGATTGTAGCTAAGATTTATAAATGAACATCTGTTTAACCTTGGCATTGGAACTAACCAAACTAAACCCTTGTCTCACTCTGGAAGCTTTTTCTATAAAAGGTGATTTAGGAATAGTTGTAAAATATTATGAGATGTATGTTTGTGTCCTTTGTAAATGCTTTATTTTACAGTAAGCGTACGAGCCTGCCAAAACTGAGCAAATGCTCTTCTTTGTATTTGATTATGCATGTTCTTTTGTAGAAAATGCTAATAGATGTGGTTAGTTTGTATTTATTAAAAGGGGGACAAAACAAAGAAAAACCTACTTCCTTCATCAATCCCAACCCTGTCCTCCTGAAAAGAGCCAAAGCACATTGTGGCTCTCAGAAAGCTATTTATGTTTCCATACCATTAACAATATTGTAACGAGCCACTTTTTTTGGTCCTGCATGTATTTGATTTTCAGTCTATGGTCTGATTGCATGTTCATTGAACTTGTGCTATTGGAAAGTTGTAAGCCTTTGAGAGATTTCTTTCTGATGATAACACTCCTAAATGTTTCCAAGGGAATGCTGCAGAATTTTAAAATCTTAAAAGAGCAGGACTCTAAGGTGTATGTGCTTGGAGCAAAGTTGCATAGTTCTTTACATTTGAAAATGATCTTAAATGTAGAAGACAGTGATTGCCCATGGTGGTCAAATGCAGACATAGAGTGCCTTACTTCAAATCATTGGATATGTTCCTGACTTGATGCATTTGACACTTGCCTCTTTCACTCTCCCAGGTTCCTGACTCTCCCCTAGATATATGTATGCCTCTGTCAGGCATTCAGACTGTCAGGCCTTCAGTCACACACTCCTTCACTACCATAAAAACAGTACTATTATTTTCAACTATTTATTATGCTATGAAATGAATGCATATATGCTGGATTCTTTTCTTGGTTTTTCTTACCCTTGTTGTCATTCTCAGTTCCACGAGTCAGGGGTCTTTGTTCAGTATTGTATTCTCCATACCTGGACTAAAAAACAGAAGTTTCCCAGCAATTATTTCTATTTATTTCTAGAAAGATAAATGAGGACTGAATCAACACAGAACTTACCTAATTAGCAATTTAGACCTGTATTGTTTTATAGGGGCACAGCTTCAAATTGACAAACTCATGAGGTGCTACTTTGAATACTTTTGCATATAAAAGTTACCTTTTAATAATTTTCTGTTTTAGACATTAATGTTTTAGACATTTTGTAAGTGAATCTAGAGGAGGTTAACAGCTACATATATTCACAACCTGAGAAAAATATGCCACTGAAAACTCTTGGTATTGTTTCATTAATTTCTATATTTGACATCCTTTCTTTCACAGAGTCTCTCCTAAGAAGGCCACAAACTGTGTAGTTCTCAGAAGAATTACGGTGCCCTCAATGGCTCAGTAGCCAGTGTAGATCCTGTCTTTGGTAATCAGCAGCTACATCTGGCTACTGGGTCTCTGGTGGCATCATCTAGCTTCAGTTATTATACCTAGAACAAGATTATTGAAATGATAGCTTTATCTGTAGCAACACACACACACACACACACACACACACACACACACACACACACACACACACACACGCATGCATAGACATGCATGCACACACAGTTTTTAGAGTCTAATCTTCCATTATTCATTGTGTTTGGGAAGTCATCAAGAATTTTATGAATGATGAGGTCTCTGTGTTTATCACTGCAAAGGATATTTGAGCCATTGATTGGTTTTGCTCCTTATCCCCCTCTTTCTGCCACGAAGATACCCTTTTCTATTCAGCTGTCTGTCAGTGTATCATATACTTAACTTGATATCCATCCACCTCCCTGTCTGTACTTCCATACATTTCTTGACCTTTAAAGGTCATTTTAAAAATAGCATGATGGATGAGAACCAATAGAATTATTTGAAGAAATTTCACCTACAGATAAATCACAGTAATTTAGACTTATGTTTTCTCTGTGGTAAATAAGGCACATATCACTTTTGACATATTGATTTGCTTTGAAATAATCTGGATGATTTGCAGGCTGAACATCCAGGTCTGGGGCATGAACCTGGCATACAATGTAGATTTCTGTGTATATTAGGCAACAGCTACATTGTCTGCTGGGTTTCAGGCTACCTGGAAGCAATTCTCCATTGGTCACCTTATCAGTGTTTTATCTCTAATATTTCTGAGTTACTTTTCTAGGAACCATAAATGAGTGTGACTTCTCATTGAAAAGAATAGAGGAATGGACCTCCACGAAGTTGATCACCTTAGCAATTAATGGTTTCATTGTGATTTCATCCAAAACAGCCTCACATGCCATCTTGTCAACTGAAGAAACCAAAGATAAGATGTAATGTCATCTTTCCTCTTCTTGCTTCAACATTCAAAGATTGATCATGTTATAATGAAATACTTTCTATTTGTTGTTGCTGACAGGAAGTAAAATACCTTAGGGCACTGTGCACCTACCTCACCATTCCTCCTCATTTTGTTTTCTCTTCTACTTGCAGGAATGTGGTTTATATTTGTTCTTCTTTTGTCATTGTCTCATTTTATGAAGAACTCTCCAGTCTCAATAGAATCTGAAAGTTTTTTCTGGTGTTCCAACATCTTACCACATCATTAGTTCCCTGACTGGACTGTCCACTATTGCTGATCATTCCTTATGAAAGTAGAACAGCTGTGTGATGGAATGACAAGGAACTTAGGCAAGGAACTCAAGCATGGCTTTCCATGGTGAGAGGAAGAAGAGAATTGAAATTGCTTCTAAGAAACACAAGTTTTATAATGTGGTTTATTTGCCTACTCATTTGGTAAATAAATGTAAATGTATGAATATTTCTAGAAAGTAGCAATTCAGGCTAAAATTCTCAGTGGAGGAATAGAAGTTTTAAAGGTGAATTTGTAAGTAGTTAGCTATAAACTAGAGATTTTTAGTAGGAAATCATGTATTTTACATTAATGTGACTTAAATAAAAAACTAGAAAAGGTAAGTAAGTGCTGCAAAGATCAATGTCTATGTAATTAATTAATCAATCACCAATGATGGTGATATAATGTATTTTTGTCATCTCATGCTAAATTCAATGAAAATAAAGCTAATAACTTAGAATTTTTAAAAGATTGTACTGTCTGTTCTACATGCATTTTGGTTTCCTACTTACCAGTTCATTCCATCTACTATTTTGTGCCCAAGCCACTGGTCTCATTAAAAAAAAAAGACCCTTTGTAGTTGAGGAATTTGACAACATTTTAAGTGTGGTAAATGACTCTATACAGCAAGGGTTTATTTAATTAAACTCATAGTTTTCTTAATAGTTATCAAGAGGGGATTGTTTTCTTTCTTCCATTTCTGCACCCACAAAGTTCTTTGAAGTCAATTGTAGTGGGTAGCCATTCCAGCTTGGTTCTGGAGGTTCCAACCCCCATTGAGACTCTGGCAACTGTCACGCCTATGAGGCGGGGCGAGGGGAGGCGCCGGGGGACCCGAGAGCTGGATGGGTTAGCGCTCTCTCTGGGTGCTCTCTCGGTGCCGGGACGCTGACCGGTGCAGATTGACTGTGCAGAGCTCCGGAGAACACCGCTGGACTGCGTTACACCTTCCCCAGACCCTGCGACTTACCCATTACTTAATTTGTGAGTTACGCCATTAAATAAATATCCTTTTTAACTACGTGGAGTGGCCAAAATAATTTCTCCAATAGTCAATTGTGCAGGAGGCCGCGGGAGTATACAACAGGTGAAAGCTAGTGTCCAACAGGTCAACCCACCAGAGGAATAACTCCTTTTTGGGAGCCCCACCTGGCAAAGCTGTGGAGTTACTTTCTGTTAATGTCTGTAACTTTCTCATGGGCCTCCACATAACTCCCTAAAAAGAACAGCTGTGGGGTTCTTTCCACAGACTATTGGTAGTTTGTTTTACATCTTTGGGCACACTTATAGCTGTGGATGTTCAGTAAGATGATTTCTGTTTAAGCTGTATAATTCTGATGACCAGAATACTAGAATATTTTTCTTTTTTGGCCTTTATTTGCTTTTTTTTTTTAAAAAAAAAAACTTTATGTACATTGGTATGAAGATGTCAGATTTCCTGGAACTGGAGTTACAGACACTTGTGAGCTGCCATGTGGGTGCTGGCAATTGAACCCATGTCCTCTGCCAATGCTCCTAGCCCCTGAGCCATCTTCCAGCCCCCTAGAATATTTTTCTTAATTAACACAGGAAAGTAATAGTATTCTGAGTCTCAAAGACAGCTAATTATAAATTTCAGAATAAATTCAAAATAGACTAAGCTGCCCCTGCAAAAAAATACACAATGCCTTGTTTCCAGTTGTTTATTGCTAAATCAGGGCCAGGCTGTTTATATTGAGACATAATCCCTATAGTAATTAACTGTATGTACCCCAATCACTCAAGGTTTAGCCAACTATTGTTATCCTGAATTTCAATGTCATCTGTCTGGGAACGTTAACCACTCATGCTACATGCTTGGCCAGGTTTTACTTACTGGCCATTCAGTAAGACCTTCCTAGCCTGAGAAAAACTGTATGTGACTTATGTGTTATGAGAATGGGTTGGACCCTGAAAATGTAACTCATATTTATACTGAGTTTGGCTGTGAGGGGGACTGTGAAAAGCTATGGGGAGAAGTGCTGTCAAAAGAGCTGTGCAGAGAGTAAGAGAGTGTGTGGGGTTATGTGCTGAAAAAGGGATATGAAGGAACTGTGTAAAGAGCAGGGAGTGAGCGAGTTGTGGGAGTGTTTGTGTGTGCTGAGTGAGGGATGTAGCTGTATGGAAAGAGAAGTATGAGAGATAGAGTAAGGTGAGAGAGTGAATGAAAAGAATGTAAAGAGTAAATAAATGATGTAAAATAAATAAATGTGAAGGAATGTAACAGTAGAGAGAAGAAATGTGTATAGAAGAGACAGAGTTATATAAAGAGATGTAAAAATGAGGGGTATATGGCTATATGGAGAATAACACTATGGAATGTAATTTGGGTATATGAAGAATGTAACAATGTGGAATGCATCTATGTGGAACAGAGATTTACTGAGAGGATTTTTTAAGATGAAGAAAAAATAAATTACTATCAGAAAGCATGAGTGTTTCCTTATTTTTCCCCTCCAATAAAAAATGGAAAATGTCTAGCCCTCAGATGACAATTTTTCCCAAGGCCTCACTGCCTTTGTGGATATTTTATTTGGGGGGGGGTCATACTCTTGGTGCAGTCTTGGAGCTGGCTCTCCTGAAGACTGATCTGTTTGCCTATCACTAAACAAAGTGTTGACTGTGGAGCCAGATGTATAGAGTTTCATTTCCTTTTCCAGAGTGACACAGCAATACTGGATGGATCCTTTAAGTATGGCCAAATATAGCAATATAACAGGAAATACAAACAGGAAATACATATTCAGACTTAGTGCACAATTTCTGTCACCCTTGTACTTTACTGAGTGATAGGGATGCTAAGAGCATCTTTTATTGCAGTATTTGGTCTATTCCTCACAAGAACAGCCAAGATCACTAGAGTCTATGTTTTGTATGCTGATGAATAGATGGTGGAAGGGGGAGTCTGGTTGGCTTCCTGAAGGTGTCTAGATGCCAAGAGCAATGTGATATGTGTTTTTCAGACTGAGTAGGTGACTCTATTTCTATACTTATAGTAGTGGCTGTGGAATGGTTATTGTGCCATTACTAAAATCTCCAACTCAGTAGTCATTTTCTTAGTCCATTTGTGCAACTACAACAAAATACCTAAAACTTAAAACAATTCCTAAACAAAAATAGTTTATTTTTTAACAACACTGAGGGGTAAGTCTAAGTTTACAACATCAACATTCCTTGTCTGATAGCCACCTTCTTGTTCTTTGATAAAAAGGCAAAAAAGTTGAACACTTGTCACTTAACCCATCCATCAAGCCCTAATGTTCATAAGAGTGGAGTGCTTGTGACATAGTCAACTTTCTGAATACCCTACCTCAGTGTTGCATGTTGAGTTTCCACATGGTACTCTTCTAACCCCATCCCCCATTCATGTCCTTTTTAGTTGTGAAACACTGAAATCTTGTTCCAGCACATCTAATTACTTTAAAGTCTAACTTATTACTGTTACACTTCTGATCACAAGTTTCAACGTGAACAGGAAGGGTGACAGCAATCATTAATGCCTGATTAACCACAAATATAATGGAACATCCTCCAAATCTGAAGTTTAGAAAGCCTCCAGCTTAGTAGGTAGATGTGATACTGAGTGTATGGCCTAGGGCAGGAATGGAAGCCAGGTGTCTTTCAACACGTTACCAATATACATGACTTTGGTTGGACTGTTCTTACCTTGGATCCCTTGGGTAAATGAGTAAGTAATGGTAAGTAAATGCCCCTGGGTTCTATGAGCTATATAACAACTTTCCCAGCATGAAGTCTTTGGGGAACTCCCGATACATATGTCAACTGACAAGTGTAAATGGTAGCAAGCAATTGGCATTTGAAATAGAACTCCTTTGAAATTGAGCTCTTAATCTCTACAATATGCTATCTTCAAGTAGAAGATAAATTGAGTTAAATTGTAGACAAACAGCTGATGTCATGAAACTCCTATCTGGCACATCAGAGTGGTGTGAGTTAAGACAGGGCTAAAAGGGTACAAATGATCAGAGACTCATTTTTCTGAACGTTCCCCTCTTGTCTCTGTGAGACCCCTGGAAAAAGTAAACTAAATGTTTCATGGCTTTGTCTACAAGTGAGACCCACAACCTGGAGAGAGATACATAAATGTATAACTATAAAATATACTGCAAAATATAAACACTAAAAAATGCTAGTGGGGTTTTTTACTAAAGAAAAAATAATAAGCAGTCACCAACCTAAGTATGCACAAAAGAATTGGAAGCAAAGTCAAATACATGTATGCATATTCACCTTGCTGTTAGTATTTACAATAGCCAAGTGATGGAAACAACCCCAATGTCCATCAACTGAAATATCATTTAGCCATAAAAGAAAGTATAAACTGGGTCTGATAGGAGTAGGGGATGGAAATAAGATGATCAGTTTAAGGCCATCCTGGGCAATTCCCATCTAAGAAACAAAGAGAATAGTAGAAATTTAGACTACAATGTGAATGAATTTTAAAATCATGGACAGTGAGGGAAAATCAGTTACAAAAGACTATATACTGTACAATTCTGTTGACATGAAATGGCCATAAGGGTTTTCAGGAGCTGGGAATGGAAGGGAGTAAGAATAGAGCTGCTTTACACATGTGGAAGATTCAGAGCATATGGTAACCATCCATACTAAAATTTCTGGTATCATTAACAAACTAATATTACCAACTCCAAGTGTCCAATTCCCCAGCACTAGGAGGCTGAGGCAGGTCTGCCACAAGTTCCAGACCAGCCAGAGACACATGGCAAGCCCATCTCAAAGTAATAAAATAAAGATAAAAGGTGCAGGTTAGGGTACTTACAAAGCTTTACAATCATCACCAGAAAATTAATTCCATACCATTTCATCACTCCAAACATGTCTATATCGTATGTACATGATAGAAAGCAAAATTAACATGGGGATGCTATCCATCCCTCCTTCAGATTTGTTTGCTCACCTCACTTGTCCCATTTCTACTTTAGCATCTCATCTGTCGTTTCACTCTTAGTTACAAGATCTTCAGTTCTGAACCTGAAACAGGTTTACATCCTTCCTTTGTCATGACTGACATTTTGGAAGAATAGAGGACAGTTATTTCATAGACTACCCCTCATTTTGCTCAGATGACTCCTGTTTAACTTTGGGTTACACATTTGTCAGTACCACAGAAGTATGCCCGTAAGTGCATTGTATCTACAGGCACATTAATATAGATGTGTCCCACCAGGAGTGGTAACCTTGACCATTTGCTAAAGATGATGTCTGTCTGATAGTGGCTTCATCCCCCATGCCTTGCGACTTCTGCTTCCCTTTTGTGAGGTCCTGGGAGAGGAACTAAAGCTTCATATGCTAAGCTACTCTATTGGTAGCTATATCCCAAACTCTTTACTATTCCTATTTTGCAGTACTGGTGAATAGAACTCAGGGTCTTTTGGTCTAGTACATGTGAAGTAATTGTTCTATAACTAA